TCGACGTCTATATATATCAAAGCCGATGGGGCATCATACCACCGTGACATGTGCTTGATTTCTTACCCCTACCACATGGAAAGCATATAAAAACATACTTGTGGTCGTTCATGACTCGTGACAGATTAAATTTTTTTTGGATTTGTCAATAGAAAATGACCTTAAATAGAAGATAGCTATAGATAATATTGATATGAAAAGATTTTGTTGACCTAAATAGAGAAAAATGATTTAGGTAGGATAATGAATGTTTTCTTTAGATTGTATTATATTGTATATTGTAATAAACTTGTTATTCTACAGGTTTTCAGTTTTACACCTTTAAGACACAAAAGCCTATATATAGCAATATATAGATCCAGCCCTATATATATATATATATATATATATATATATATATATATATATATACGGTAATTTATATATATATATATATATATATATATATATATATAAGATATATATATATATATATATATATATATATATATATTTATAACCATATATATATATATATAATACCAATTTAGTGATTGTAATAGGATAATTCTCAAGAAAATATTAATCCAATGAGAGCTCAAATATACAATAAAGAGCATTATAATAAAATAATAACTTTATTTTTTCTGAAGAGACGATTATAAATATATTCACAAAATAAATTATAACTGATATATGTTATCTTGAGTTATATATATATATATATATATATATATATATATATATATATATATATATATTATGACATTTTTAAATTGTTATATTATATATATATATATATATATATATACATTATAACCGAAATGTGTTATTAAAAGTTATTATTATATATATATATATATATATATATATATATATATATATATATATATATATATATATAACTGAAATTTTAATTTGTTATATATATGTTGTGGTATTGGCAACTTGGAGAGTTGCCTGGGATATGCCTCCATAAGTGTTTGGGATTTGGTACTAAAGTTCAGCTTGTCTGAGGTACTAGTAACCCCAGATCCAGCCCTATATATAATCTTTTTCCTTGGAGGTAGAGGAAGCAAAAGACCAGATGACGTAAGAAAGAATGAATGAATCCAATATTGAGAGTAATATTAAAGATACAAGACTATTTCTAATATTAGTCAACTTGTATTCAGATTGGCTTGAAGTTATTAAAGTTTTGAATAGAAAAGCTACTACTGTGAAGCAGTTGTTGAGAATAGTCGAGAAACAGAGATCCAAAACCTTTGGTCTCCAAATAATGCACCTGAGTTTTGTGAAGAAAAAGTTTATGTGCATTGGTTAAAACATATTGGCTGCATTCCATACAAAACACCACCTTACCACCCAAAGTAAAATGGAATTGCAGAGTGAATGGTTCAAACAGCAAAAATGAAATTAAAAGCATTTGGATTGTGATATAGAGAGTTATTGACCCAGACTACTCCTAAGTTAGAGAGCTATTCTGCATGCAGTTAGAAGACAAAGCCCATCTGCATTGATGAGAAGACAAATAAGAGCATGTAATTTGCAATGAATTAAAGCATGTGATACAGAAAGGACAAGGATTCAAGTCCTGAAAAGGCAAATTTTGTGATGCAAAAGGAATTTAGCATAGCATGTTAACAAAGACGGGACAAGGCATACTGGCTCATGAAGACCAATTTAGAACCACAAGAGAGCATGAAGTTATGGAAAAGGAGGAGGAATCAGAAGAGCAGATGATGTAAGAAAAGATTAATGAATCCAATATTGAGAGTAATCAGGAAGACTACAAGATGTGAAAAATGAAGAAGAGGAGAGGGGAGAAGAATGAGTGTATCAAGTAGTAGTGAGGAACAATCTAGGGATGAGAATGATTAAACATTATGATGATTCAAATGAGAAGAATCAGTTAAGACTTAGATCTTTAATAAAAAAGAAATAAAGAGACTCACTCTGAGAGACAAATGATGTCTCCCAGGGTTGTTCGTAGAAGTCAAAGATCAACTAAAGGTATAAAGCCTCTTAGATTCAGGGAAGTGTAATGATATGTAAATGAGGTACTGTATAAAAGGCAGTATCACTATACCTGAGTAGAGTTATCTTCTCTTGATGAGACTACATCTGTCAGGGAGAATACCTATCATAATTACTCTACACATTAATACTTACTTTCAGCATAATCTGTTTCCTGTCAATTAACTTAATTCAATGGTGAATATTTTTCATATAGATCAAACATTTTATACTAACAATTTCATATCAAAATTCAGTGATGTGTTCGTTTACAGATTTGTTAGCATATATTCATCTCTTCATAGTTGGTGTTCACAGCATTGTACTAGAATTTCAAATTCAAAACTTATGGAAAAGTGTTACTCTTACACTGAGGATAAAAATCATTCAGTTGTAAAATTTTAAGTATAAATTACAAAGGTATAAAAACTATTACAGTTGTCATCAGAGCCAATTTCAACTGACTGGCAACTTGAGCAGTTGCCTGAGCGTCATCAAAAAAAAGGGCGCCATTATGCTTCCATGTCATGTGTTTGGGATCTTTCAAAACTAAAGCTTATAAAAACATACTTGTGGACATCCATAAATCAAAACAGATTAAATTTTTAGGCATAATTATGGTTTGTGGCCACTGGAGAGAGAAGATTTAGTTTTACCAAAACTTATAAAAAAAAATACTTCCAGTCATCCATGGCTCAAGGCAGATTACATTCTTTGGCTATTTTGTCAATATAAAATAACCTTGTGAAGAAGATAAGCGTTGAAAATATCATGAAAAGATTTGCAGATCTAAAGGCTAGAAAAAATCTTTAAGGTATCATAATGAATGTTTTCTTTAGCTTGTATTAATTTGTATATTGTAATAAACTTATTTTACATTTTCAGTTTTTCTCCTTCTAAAAATTAAAAAATATATATATATATATGTAAATGTAAGGGCAACCATAGGGTACTACAGGATACGATCGATAAATTGTCGCCGTTTTATGTTTTTAATTTCGCGTATGCTTGTTGTTCGTTTTGTATTTTGTTGACGGCGCAGTATAGCAGGGGTCAGTTGGGCACCATCTGTGAGAAAAAAGAGCACCATGGCGCACTATGTCACTCCGATAGAAATTTTGAAACATCATGCTGCATTGCTTGGCATTCGCACCGGAATACAAATATTTCAGACTGTCAATCTGAGAACAGTGCAGAGGATTTAGAAAGAGTCGGGTGAGTCTAATGCTGATTACGAAGTTACAGCAGCTCGAAAATCTCACTCTGATATTTTTTATAAGATAAGAACTCCCGAGTTTGTTGATGTGGTCCTTAGACTCAACATCAAGGGCCTTGAGGAGGTAGTGCTGCCCTGGGTCAAAAGAGTGGCTGCTGGAAGATCCTATGTCTGGCAACAAGACTCTGCACCATGCCACACAAGCAGAAGAACCCAGTCATAGTTGTCAAGACAATTTCTGCGATCACATCACCCCTAACATCTGGTCACCTAACTCTGCAGACTGCAACCCCCTTGATTATTATGGGTGGGGCGCGGTTGAACAACAAACTTGCTTGTGATACCAAAGATGAACTGAAGCCAAGGATTAGGGCAGCATTCACCATCTTAAACAAGAAGAAAATTCTGAAGAGTTGCAGGAGATTCCGAAGTCATCTAGAGGCCGTGCCTTCGTCGAGTATGTCGTCAGTGTTCAATGAAACCTGTGTTTGTGTTTGTTCTTTCAATAATACTAATGGATGATTATTTTCTACCATTTGTTTGGCTTCGATATTTGTTTATTGATATCATTCGAGGAATTAACAAAGAAAAACAGACGTTACCAAGGTAAAACTTTGAGCTACTTATTATTAAGCTGCGCAGACGCATTGACGTCTGCAAGTAGATACGCATGCGCAAAGGCTCAACAAAAACCAATGAAAGATATTTGTGCTTGTAAGTATTCCTAATGCCAAACACGACGTATTGAATTTAACTTGATTTATGAAATGAGGTTTGTTTATTAAGATTAATATATATATATATATATATATATATATATATATATATATATATATATATATATATATATATATCCAAGTATAGGATTGGTGTATACGAAATAAATTCAAATAAACAACAAATACTATTCTTAAAAGAGTGCTCAATACAGAGTAGAGCAAATATAATTTATTCGAAAATTATTATATAAATATAAATAAAAATCACTACAAAAATAGCCATTTTTGTTTCAATACTTCTGGTGTCTTATCAAGTGATGGTGTTGAATGCCAATACCATTCAACACCATCTCTTGATAAGACATCAGAAGTGTTGAAACAAAATGGCTATTTTGTAGTGATTTTATAACACACACATACATCAATCAGTGACACACGCTTAGGCGATCATGTATCTTTCGATACATGACTGGCGAGGCAGATTTTTTTCCCCGCAGTAGATTGCCATTTCTTTCTGCGTTAGACCAGTTGCCATCTAAGGCTATAGAACCCGGCCTGTCTATCTATTTACCCATAGCTGGGGGGATAAGAAGATTTATACCTTTTATTAGCACGTAATTGAATGTAATGGATTCGAGTGGAATTTTACTTTTGTGTTCAGTCAGTTATGTGCCATGTGTGATACATGACTGACGAGGCAGATCTTTTTCCCGCAGTAGGTTGCCATTTCTTTCTGCGGTAGACCAGTTACCATCCAAGGCTATAGAACCCAGTCTGTCCTTCTATTTAAACATAGCTGGGGGGGAGAAGAGGATTCATACCTTTCCCAAGGGTATTAGTATGTAAGTGAATGTAATGGTTCGAGAGGAATTTGAACTCGGTTCTCCGATTCCTCAATCCAAGCCGGTATCCATATACACAGACTAATTTCCTATCCCTCTATCATTTTTATTCTCTCCCTCCCCCCCTTTTGTGTGTTCTTTCTTTTTTCTTTGTGGTCATAGACCTTCCTATTGTTTTATAAATTTCAACCTATTTTTTCATCCATCTTCCTTTCATTGTCCTTGTGGATGTTTTTTTTTGCTATTCGTTTTCTTTATTGCTTTAGATTGTTTACTAAAATATATTTCTCTCCTCCTCCTCCTTTTCACCCCACCCTCTACATCTCCCTCAAATCCTCCTTCTTTCCTTCTATCGCTTTGTTCTCTCTCCCTTCTTTCACTATTACCCTCTCACCTCCTCTCCCTCTTTCCACCTCTCTCCACATTTCCTTCTCCCTCCAGCTTTCCGCCCACTCCCCATCTTTCTCCTCTCTTCTTTTTTCCCTCTCTCACCTTCCTTTCCAGTTTATCCCTCTTTCCCTCTATCTCTCTCTGCTTTCTCCCGCCCCCTCTCTCACTATTTTCCTTTCTCACCCTCCATCTCTCCTTTCATTGTCTCTAACCTCTTTCCCTCTCTCCCAAACTTTCCGTCTTTCCTTATCTCTCCCTTTTCGCTTTCTCTCCTTCTTTCCCTCTTTATCCTTCTTTTTCTCTCTCTGTTTTCTCTCCCCCGAATCCCTATTGTCCTCTCTCTCCTTCCTTCCTTCGCTCTCTTTACATCTTTCCGTTTCTCTCCATCTTTCCTTCTCTTTCCCTTTTCCCTCTCTATTCTTATTTTCCTGTTTATCTATCTTTCACGTTCTCTACCTCTTTCTCTTCCTACCTTTTCTTTTATCCATCAAATCTATCTACCGATCATAACTTCTACATTGCCTGTTAGTGTGAATCTATCTATCTGTCTGTCTGTCTGTCTGTCTATCTGTCTGTCTGTCTGTCTATCTATCTTGGTCTGCTTATCTCTATCTATCCGTGAAAGAAAGAAAGAAAGAAAGAAAGAAAGAAAGAAAGAAAGAAAGAAAAGAAAGAAAAATAAATTGATAATAAAGAAAAAAGAAAAAGAAAGAAAAGAAAAATAAAAATTGATGGAAAGATTAAAAAGAAAGAAAAGAAAAAGAAAGAAAGAAAAAGAAAATTGATGGAAAGAAGAATTGAATTGAAAAGAAAGAAAAAAGAAAGAAAGAAAGAAAGAAAGAAAAATTGATGGAAAGATTAATTGAAAGAAAGAAAGAAAGAAAGAAAGAAAGAAAGAAAGAGAAATTTTGAAAAGAAGAAAGAAAAAGAAAGAAAGAAAAAAAAAAAAAAATTGATGAAAGATTAATTGAATCTTGATGGAAAGAAAGAAAGAAAGAAAGAAAGAGCAGAAGAAGAAACAGAAGGAAAGAAAGAAAGAAAGAAAGAAAAAAAGAGACGAAATTGATGGAAAGATTAAATGATTGAAAGAAAGAAAGAAAGAAAAAGAAAGAGCCGAATCTTGGATTGACAAAAAAAATAAAGAAAGAAAAGAAAGAAAAAGACAAATTGAAAAGAAAGAAAGAAAGAAAGAAAGAAAGAAAAGAAAAATGATGGAAAAGAAGAATTGAAAGAAAGAAAGAAAGAAAGAAAGAAAGAAAGAGACGAAAATTGATGGAAAGATTAATTGAAAGAAAGAAAGAAAGAAAGAAAGAAAGAAAGAAAGAGCCGAATCTTGATGGAAAGAAGAATTGACAGAAAGAAAGAAAGAAAGAAAGAAAGAGACGAAAATTGATGGAAAGATTAATTGAAAGAAAGAAAGAAAGAAAGAAAGAAAGAAAGAAAGAAAGAAAGAGCCGAATCTTGATGGAAAGAAGAATTGACAGAAAGAAAGAAAGAAAAAGAAAGAAAAAAGAAAAAATTGAAAAGATTAATTGAAAGAAAGAAAGAAAGAGCCGAATCTTGATGGAAAGAAGAATTGACAGAAAGAAAGAAAGAAAGAAAGAAAGAAAGAGACGAAAATTGATGGAAAGATTAATTGAAAGAAAGAAAGAAAGAAAGAAAGAAAGAGAGAAAGAAAGAAAGAATTTTTTTTTATCTTGATGGAAAATTGATGGAAAGAAAGAAAGAAAGAAAGAAAAAAAAAAGAAAGAAAGAAAGAAAGAAAGAAAAAAATGGAAAGAAATTGAAAGAAAGAAAAGAAAAGAAAAAGAAAGAAAGAAAAAAAGAGCCGAATCTTGATGGAAAGAAGAATGGAAAGAAAGAAATAAAGAAAGAAAGAGACGAAAATTGAAAGAAAGAAAGAAAGAAAGAAAGAAAGAAAGAAAGAAAGAGAAAAAGAAGAATTGATGAAAGAAAAGATTAAAGAAAGAGACGAAAATTGAAAAGAAAGAAAGAAAGAAAGAAAGAAAGAAAGAAAGAAAGAAAGAGAAAGAACCGAATCTTGATGGAAAGAAGAATTGACAGAAAGAAAGAAAGAAAGAAAGAAAAAAAAAAATTGATGAAAGAATAATTGAAAAGAAAATCAAGATGAATAGCTTTCTTGATGGAAAAGAATTACGGAAATAAAAGAAAGAAAGAAAGAAAGAAAGAAAGAAAGAAAGAAAGAAAATCAAAATAGAAAAAATAAAAGGAAAAGAAGAAGAAAGAAAGGAAGGGAGAAATAAAAAATAGAAGGAAGGATGGGAGGGATGGAGAATACAGGGTGGGGAGGGAGGGAGAATGGAAGAATATAATTACGAGAGAGAAACAAGCAGAAACAGAAGGAAATCCGGAATTAAAATTCTGTTGTCGAGAAGCGATGGACGATTGTATGTAAATCCTCTTTTGACTCGCTTCAATCGCCATCATTTACAGCGAATAGAAACTAATTGTGGCTTGCCATACCAGCACGTCACAATTGGGCAAATTTATTATACTTCTCGATTTGTCAATGGCTTTTTAATCGGGCAACGAGCGAAACAAAACGAACCAGTGGACGACAGCCAGCCGAAGAGACAACGATACCGCGATAGAGGGAAGACTAAATCAAGATGGCCTACGGGTTGGACAAGAGAAGGCTTTCGCTTGGAGATAAATACATGTTTCTCGACTCTGCCGGAAGATCGATCCCGAGTAGTCCCTTGCCACGTGACTGGGGTAGTTGGCTTTATCTCATCGGTCCCAGTAACGAGCCAAGGGTGGGTGATTAGTGTAACGGATATCGGCATAGAATGCAAAATCGGATTGTGATTGTCTGTTTTCCTGTCAGGTGACGCCATTTTCATCTTAAATCGAGGGACATTCTTTTGTTTTTCTCCCCCAGATTCAATTTCCTCTTGCTGGATTCTGTTGATTAATTGATTCATTTTTTTACGGTTTATCAATTCATTGCAGGTTATTTAAAGCCAGATAAAGTGTTTAGATTGCAAGATTGTATTTTTGTTGAAATAATGGTTTAGTGATTCAAGTCTTACTAATCAACCTTTAGCTGAGGGTAGAAGACGTGGATCCATACCTAATCATAGTTTGATCAACAAACAAGAATTTATGATGTGAATTTAAAGTGGGTGACCAATTCTATATTACAATCAATACTTAAACTGATCCCTCACTTTGTTGTCACGGTAGTTTCAATACATTTATATTGCAGAGAATGTAAATAAATCTAAAAGACATGCCTGTGAGCTAATCACTATTTGACCAATTGATTGATTCATTTTCTATGGCTTATCAACAAACAAGAAATTATAATATGGATATAAAGTGGGAGATCAATTCTACATTACAATCAATATATAAACTGAACCCTCACTTTATGGTCACAATATTTCTAAACATTTATATTCCCGAGAATGTAAATGAAGACATGCTTGTGAGCTTATCAGTGTTTCATTGATTGATTGTTTCGTCTTTTACGGCTTATCAACCCTTTGCATGTTATTGAAAGCCAGAAAATAATTTTAGATTACAAGAATTTTTTAGGGGGAAAGGTGTATTCATACAACTCTTATAATTGGAAACCAAATAGGGGTTCAATTTATTCATATTACATGAGAATTTGATGAAGAGGAAATATATATATATATATATATATATAGGCTATATATATATATATACATATATAAATATATATATATATATATATATATATATATATATATATATACTGTCATATATATATTACGAGGGGTGGTTAGTTGATTTGGTCCCTTTAAAACCTTTATTCTATAATCTATATTCAACATCATCACTTGATAAGACACTAAAGGTATTGAAACAAAATGGCTGTTTTTGTAGTGATTTTATAACATATTTATGCCATAATTTTTAAATAAATAACTATATATATATATATATATATATATATATATATATATTCCATCAGACAGATTGTTTCGCTGTATCCAAGCTCATCAGTGTAGCTAGACATCCGATTGCCTCAAACCAGAATCGAAACCCAACTAATTTGGCATCTGTCGGAGATTTTTCTCCTAAGCTATCAGAGGAAGGTGATGTTTTACGCATTTAATTTTGAATAAACGTGCTAGTGACTCAGAGTGCTCGAGTCAGAGAAGAGTTTCTGCATTATCAGCATTCGCAGTTGCTGTTTACAAATTCGCGCTTCCTCCGAGGTGCTCGAACGATTCTTATTTTTTCAGGGGCCTATATATATATATATATATATATATATATATATATATATATATATATATATATGAAACAACTCTAAAAGTGGATTCCCGGCCACACTCACATACACACCACGGAAGACAAAAAAAATCGAACAAGAAGAGGAACATCATATATTATGTTAGAGCATAAACGTAAAAACAAACGTAGGAAAAATATTCGTCAAACTCTTACGCAAACACTTCCCCCGAATCAAGCTCTATACACAAAATATTCAAAAAAACACAGTAATAACCAGCTACAGTTTCACCGAGAACATGACACAAATAATAAAAATCACAACAGGACAACTATCATCAAATCACCTGAACAAATTAGACCCTCGTGTAACTGAAGAATAAATACCGAATGTCCCTTAAATGGCAATTGCTTACAAAACAATATAATATACTAAGCCACGGTAAACTCATTAGATAACGAAGAAGAAACTTACATGGAAGTAACTGAAGGGCCCTAGAAACAAGGAAACGACGCACACGAAGCATTTTCACAAATAGTAAATAAGCGAACAGCACAATACCTTCCAAGCATATCTGGGAAATTAAAAACAAGAAAAAAATATAAATAAAAATATCATGCAAAATAAAGTAAACAACGTAAGTCTACAACAATCAATCCCAAAACTGTAAACTCTGCATGGAAGAAAAAATAGCTATAATAACCTTCCAGGCCAAATAAACTACAAAATAAACGATCAGAAATCACCTCAAAATGCAGACACTAACACAATCCTTGCTTTTCTTCTTCTTCTTCTTCTTCTTATTATTATTATTATTATTATTATTATTAAAAGTATATATATATATATATATATATATATATATATATATAAAGTAATATAGTTTTAAGGTGTGCTATATTTATGGGATAAAGTACTCAATATCAGAGGTAGAGCCTATGTAAAAATAAATATAAAACGGAACAGTGAAGTCAATACTCAGAGGCGACAGGCTGTTTCCTGATAGGCCCAATCGACATGCATGAAATTATATATATATATATATATATATATATATATATATATATATATATATATATATATATATATATATATATATTATATGAGATGGATTAACTGCATTTACAGACTTAATAACGGTTCATAAGGTTTTTCCAAATATTTTAATATATTTTCTGTTTAGACGATTTTTAATGGATACATATTTGAGTAAACGATTTTTAATTGAAATATTATTAACTGCATTTACAGATATAATAATATTCCTCATATATATTTACAG